CCCGAGCGCCGCCGTCGGCACATGGCAGGATCGGCACATGGCAGCCACCCGGGCCTGCCTCTGTCGGCAAAACGGGACCGCGCACACGTCCGGTCCCACGTAACACAGGCTCGCACGCGGCCTCGGGCGCGCAGACATACACGTCAGTCCCACTAAGACACAAACACCCTGAGACACAGACACCCAGACTCCAGCGTCCCTCCCCACCACCCTCCAGGCCCCAAGGGAATAACCAGACAGAAACGTGAGGGGGCGGGTCTGGGAAGCCTGGACCAGAGCCACCTGCCTGTCTGGACCCGGGTCTCCCTGTGGAATTGCGGCGGGGTGGGGGTGGGGGCCCGCAGGAGTGACCCAGATATTATTCCCGAGAACATCAGGTGGGGGAGGGCCCCCTCAGTGCGGGCAGACCGCCCTGTGTCGGAACCCCGGCTCTACCAGGGTGTGCGTGAGTTCGAGAGCAAATGCGTGAGTGTGCCTGCATGTGTGTGTGGATGTGTGTGTGTGCATGTGGGCGCATGCCTGTTAAAGGATCCCACAGACACAGTGAGTTCAGAGCAGTTGTTCTAGAAATGCCATTTCCTCCCTGGCCAGACTGCAGCAACAGGGATCAAGGTTAGATAGTAAGGTGAACTTCCCAGGATGTCAGGAGCCAAGACACCAGTTCCACAGTGGTTCACGTGACCTTTAGAGGGCCCTTTCCCAGGACAGGTCTCCAGATGCTGGCCAGACGGGGGGGAGAGGGTCAGCCAGCATAGGGGCCTGCCAGAGCAGCCTGGATTCCTGGGTCCTCTCCTCCCTGGGCCTCAGCCTTGCTGGTGGCTAGGTAGTTGGGTGCCCGGGGGTCATGGGGTGGAGGAGGGAGCAGGGAAGGGTTAATTACCACCCTGGCTACCCTGCCAATTAGGGGGAGGATTATAATTTGGGGGTGGGAGTAAGGTCCCCAGGCTGGGGGTGTGTCCCCCCAGGCTGAGCCTCACTAGCGTCAAAGGGTTAATAGCCCCTGCCCAGAAGCCTCATTAACCAGGGCGGGTCTGGGGAATGTACTGGGAGGGGAGCCCCCCAGACCTAGTTGGAAGAGGCCGGGGGAGGGGCTGAGGCCCCCTCCCTTCACTCACATCATGAGTCCTTTCAGCCACTCACCCTGCCTAGGCTCTCTGGGGACGTGTGACTCTTCTCCCCCAAGATATGGCCCTAGCAGGGACCCTGGCAGAGGCTGATCCCCTCCGGGCACCTCCTCCCTGTCCAGAGACGCCGGAGCCACCTCAGCCCAGTCCATCCCCCTGCTCTGCTTTGGTCTGACCTTCACCCAACCGTCCTCAGTGTTTCCAGCTCATGCACCTGTTGTCTATCAAACCAGCCATCCATCTGTCCATCCACCCCTCCTTCCAACGGTCCGACCAGCCCTCCCTCCTCCTCCTCTGCCATCTCTCCACCCTTCACCCACCCCCC